AATTTTTAAATTTTTGAAGTTCAAAACAATAAAGAAATAAGACTCGTCAATGAGAAAATACAATGGATAAAATGAACATGTTCAAAATTATTGAACATGTTCTTGAAATTATTAATAAAAATGATAAATTTCATGTATAATACTTTATGAAAAACTAAAAAGCCACAAATAAACAATATTTCAAATTTATGTTTAAGCATCATAGACATTATGAAACCTTTAAGAGCACTTTATAAATAAATTTGTTAATAAATATGAGCATTTAAGCCTAGTAGTTAAAAATCTTTGCCCAAAAGTCCATATAGTTCACCCACAAAATTTCTATAATTATTAACAAATAAACAATTCTAATACACAAAGTAATTAAAATAGAAAGTATTACTGAAGTTATTTTATGAAGCTCTTTTACATTGCCACCAAAACTTGCAATGACTCCATGAGAAAAAATAATTCATGGCCAATGATTCACTCATGAATAAATCAAAAGTGTTAAACAAAATATTAGCAAACCAAACTCAGTAACAAAAAAGATTTTTGTCCAAAATTACAAGTCTGATTTTCATGAGAAAATCAATAGATATAATTTACTCAAATAAAAGATTAAATAATATTTATCATATATATTTCAACAAATGCAAACAAAGAAAAACACCTTTAATAAACATTCATTTAAGTTAAAAAATAAAACAAAACTCACAATCTCTCAGCAACCAGATCCAGAAGGCTTAGCAAAAATGGTAAAATGTGTTTTCATTAAATAGATAGTTAGATAAAAATCTTAACAGGAGAGCCTTGTTTGCTATTGTCAAAATAATAGCAAGTCAAGACTAGCCGCCAGTACCCACTGTTTGGGGTTACACAGAGTTCCTAGGGAGTTCAATGTAAGACCAAAAAGACCTAAAATTATAAGGTGCAGAATGAGAAGAAAAAAATTTTAACAACACTGTTATTACTTGTAGATATTACACTGTAGATATCACAATGTAGATATCTACATTAAAAATAAAAAATATGTAAATGATTATAATTCATAGAATTTAGAAATTTTTCAAATTCAGATCAATATTAAAATTAATATCTCTATACACAAGCAACAAACAATGTAGAATTTCCATGAAATCAATAACATGTGCAATATCCATATTAGTTTTCTAGGAACAGCACTGAAAATGTCTGAGAATAAAATTACAAACACATCCCTAATGATAATGAATAAACAGCAAATAAGTACAATGTATGCCATAGGATGAATGATTTAATATTGAAAAATGTCACTTATCCCCTAATTTATGAAGACAATACCATCTTAAAATTTAAATAATTTGGTGTATCTATGGGTGTGTGTGTAAAATTTGACAAGCTGAATGGAAAGTTTTTAAAAAAGGCATAATGTTAAGAATGGCAGTACATTCTCAAGGAAGAAGAGCAAAGAAAGTAAAATGAACTTTACCACATATTAGTAATTATTATAAATATATAGTATACATAAGGTAGGGTATTAGCTCAGGGATTTTTTACTAACAGGACAGAATTGAGAACCATAGAGAAAACATATGTATGAAACTTTGATATATAATAGAGTCATCACTGCCAAATGATGAGATAAAAGATAAATTTTCTAATAAATGGTGCTGTTTTGGTTATCTAAATGGCTGAAAAATAAATAAATATTGAATTCCTCTCTTACATCAGATAAAAATGAAGACCAATTGCATTTAAAACCTAAATGTAAAAGATAGTATAATCTAGCTTCTAAAAGATAATATAAAACATCAGTATGACCTATCCTTAAAAAATGATCTCCAAATTTGACTGCATCAAAATTAAGAACTTCTAGAAATTTTATAAAGACAGTCTACAAAATATGTATTATGATATTTTCACCGCACACAACCACCAAAGGATATTATTTACAGTATATTAAAAGTGCTTTGTAGAACAATAAGGAAGAGAAATAAATTCAAAAGTTAAAAGTAGAAATGGGAATTTTACCAAAAAGAAGGCACAAATAGCCCATAAGAATAACAAATTTATCAACTACATTAGACATTAGTAGAATGCAAATTTAAGTGACTATAAGAGGTTATATAATACCACCAGTTTAGGGAAAAAAGTCAGACACTACTAAGTGTTCACATGGATATAGAGCAGTGGAAATTCCATTCACTATTCATTAGACTGAAATCAGTATATCAACTTCAGGAACAGTTCATCATGGTCTCTGTGACATACCTAAACTGTGCATTCCTTAGACATATAAAATTTACTATTCAATATGTATCCTAAGAAAATATTGTCTCTAACCCTAAACCAAGCACACAAATACTTTTAATAGCATTATATGCAATAACCAAAACCTAGGAACTCCTCAAGTGTCTGTGAAGAGAAGAATGGTGTAGAAAATTAAACAAGAGTAAAATTGAAATGATAGAATGCATTGTTATGGAGGAATCTCAAAAATAATTTTGAGTGGGGAGGTAAAGGAGGGTATCGGGGGGACACATGGTGGTAGAAGGAGAGTTGGCTCGGGGTGGTGAACACACAATACGGTGCACAGAGGATGTGCTGTGGAATTGTGCATTTGAAACCTGTATCATTTTGTTAATCAGTGTCACCCTAGTAAATTCAATAAAAAGAAAAATAATAATAATACATTTGAAAGAAGAAAATCATACAGTATAAATCAATTTTCAGATAAAATTCACCCACAGACAAAATGCATCCATATTTGTTTAGGGCTAAATATATCGGTGTGGGGGAAAGCTACTACAAAGAAAAATAAGAGTAGACACACGCTTCAGGACTCGGAAGATACAGAGTGGCACAGATGATCCTTTTTCTGGGGTGGATATTGAGAACAGGGAGGATTATTTTGACTCTGTACCTGCATGTGTTTTTATGAGTGTTTACTTCTTTTATTTATATTTCAAGATATTTAAAGAATGATGAATTATGGTCTACTGCATTTGTCATATGTCTTCAAGTGAATCATATAGTATTTAAAAGCTTCTTGATTCCAATGAAAATTTGCACTTTAGAATACTTATTATATTACCAATTTTCTTTGAGGGCAATTTCCCTTGCCTCAAGTGAGAATGAAGATATGAAAGGCAGGTTCATCCAGGAAGCAGAAAGGGTAGTATGAAGTGGAAATAAATGTGATGCTCTGGATTTTGTATCTAAAACTCTTCAGCGCAGTGAAGGGTAAGCGCACCAGATCAAGTGAAAGTAACTTCGGTGAATTAACAGTGACAGTTATCATTAGCTGAGCTTATAATATGTCCAAATAATTGGCCAATTACTTAAGGTATATTATCTTTAATCCACACAGCAATTCTGCAAAGTACAATATAAGAAAGATAAATTGATTTGCTGCTTAACCTAGCTCATGTATGGAAAAGCCAGGATCTGATCCCAGGCATGTCTCTCATATGTGCTCTGGTCATTACTTCATATCACTCAGGTATTGTTCAAGGTCAGACAGTGGTGTATAATGGAGCCTGAGAAGATCTGACCTTTAATCTTGCTCTGCAAATTATTAGCTGTTTGACCTTGGATAAAATTCAATAAATAAATATACAAGAATTTTGTTTTTTTTTTTTAAACTAATTGCGGATAATAAAACCAATCCATTAGGTTCATTATGAAGTTTAAATAAAATACATACATAAAGCACTGGCACAAAACATCTATACAAAAATTTTAGTTTATTCTATTATTATTATTGTTATTATTAACACTTTGCAACACAATTAATTGATTATATAAATGTCTCCAAGAAATTTCTGCATTCTATGGTTAAAAAGGGGAATTGATGGCTGAATTAATATGGGGCTGATCAAGCAAATAGAGAAAAAAAGATAAGAGCACTCCAAAAACAAAGATGCTGGTAACAGACGCATTTTCATGATCCTTCATGGGGCAAGGCCAAGGTGGAAGGACAATGAAACTTAGAAGAGAAAGATTCTCTGAATCTGGGAAAGGTGAAGGGCGTGATTTGGGGGAAAGGATTTAAGAAGAAAATTAAAGAAGATTATAATTAGATCATCCACACCTGACTCAGAGCTCAGACCATTTCACAACCTCAAACAATTTTGTAACTATTTAAATACCATCAGTCCAGATTTCCCGACAGAGTGAGTTATGAGGAAGTCTGAGCAGTAGGACCTCATGTTGTGGCTGCTCAGGGTTCTCCTGCTGAATTTACCTGGAATGCAGTGTCTCGGGGCTGCTCAGATGTCTTTACCAAACAATAGTTTCTCTCTGTTTCTGTGATATCCTTGTTATGAAAAAAACCTAGAGCTAGAGCTCCTTTGGTTAAATAATAGAATATAGACTTCCCATGATATGCTACTAACTTTCATCAATTTCTATTTATATAGCCTTCTGAATCCCTGTTTCCAGCAACCTAATTTTTCAGTCCTGCTAGAAAAACTTACTTTTCCCCATTAATTTTTCCAATAGGGAAATCATTTCCTCTATCTCTAATCCAAAATTAGAATTCTGTTACACATGTTCAGACCTACTTGAATACATTTAATTGCCTGTCTGTTTGTCCAAGTTTTGCCAACCTCAGCTTCTGGGCTCCTATGATCCACCCAACTGCTGTATCCCTGCCAGCGTCTAAAATGTGGTACGCCTTTAATACATTGTATTACCAGTAAACATATCCCAGCTCTAATGAGTCAATCTAGTTCAAGATACAGGTCTATCAAATCTCACTGCTAAATCCCAAGATCCGCCAGAGACTATTAAAAAGCATTTTGGAAATAAAAAGTACTATGGATTTCTAAAAATTTAATGACTTCTTCAGCTAACATTTTAAGGGCTATTATTTGTTTTCTCCCTGAAATTTGAAATTATTTTAGCTCTATCCCTTGTTGACCTCCAATATCCCCATGAGACATACCTTACTGTGCAGGAGAAACACTAATTAGAGATCTTTTAAGTGACACATGAGACACTGCAGTAAATGAAGTAGCTTACACTGAACTCCATACCTGAGCGCATAGCCTCTTTCTGAATGCTTTCATAGTCATGCCAGTCTTTTCTTCTCAAACCATCTGTCCATGCATAGAATTGCCCATCTCCCAGGCCCAGTGGAAATGTCTGTGGAAAAGGAAAGTATTCAGAGTATAAAAAGGAGGTATTTCCTTTTGCATGGTAGGTAAACAGTGCCAGGCACATAATAGGCAATCAAAGAATATTTGTTGAATTAGTGATTCTTCCAAGTATACTGAAAAGAAAGCTATTGCTAGTGGTCAGATTAATACACATTCTAAAACCTTGTTTCAGCTTTTAAAATAAGAGCATGTGTCAACCACAGCTCTTATCATTTCCTATTTTATTTCATCCAGAGACAGTAATAATAATTCAGTGTATCACCTTCTCTGAGCACAAAAGCCTAGCTGTTTTCACTTGCCCGAAGTGTAAATACAAGTAATGCTGCCAATTTTGGCATTAAATGAATTAATTTTGTTTGTGATTTGTTCAGTTTCATTAATTTTGATCAAGCATATTTGAATGGCCTGATAATAACATTAGCAACCATTCATTGAATGCTCACTATGTGCCAGGTACTATGTTGAATAGTCTGTATATAGAAGGTTTTTGAAACTTTATAATAGTTTTTTATTTTAAATCTCCATTTTTCTGCCTATTAAACTGAGGCCTAGAGAACTAAAATATCTTGCATTAAACCAAAGTGGCAAAGTCAGGACTTGGACCCATTCCTCAGACCAAAACTGCGGTCTTGAAAACTAGTAAGTACTGTCTCCTGTTTAGATTTCTATTAATGTATGGTGCCTGGTTATGATTACAGTTAAAACTATCACCCACTTGACAACTGTAGTCACATTATATTTTATGCTTTGGTAAAGCCCAATATGTTCTAGTGCCAACTGGAAAATTAATTATGGATACACTGCTGAAGCTACTTTAAAAAAAGAAAAGATTTTATTTACTTATTTTTAGAGGGAGGGGAGGGGAAGGAGAAAGAGAGGGAGAGGAACATCAATCAGTTTCCTCTCCTATACACCCTGACCAAGACCGAACCCACAACCCAGGCATATGTTCTAACCAGGAATTGAATCAGTGACTTCTGGCTTTTCTGGACTACGCCCAACCAACTGAGTCACACTGGTCAGGGCTGAAGCTACTTTTTTAATAGTGTTTATTTTTGGTAATAAAAATGTTTTAAATGAATATCATTTTTAACAATCTTAGTAGTTAATAAAAGGTGAAATAAATGTTTTCACATTTATGCATCATTTTCCTTTTATTTGGTTTATGTTTAAAATAAATAATATATCTATAGAATAAGATAAAGAAACAATTATTTTTAAATTTCAGTTTGGATTAAAAAAAGATGAATAATTTCAGTGAGGAAATTTTACTCTATGAGCTTTTTCATGGCAAATGAAACATCCTATTAGTTTGAAATAGTGCAACTTCTGTGTTTATGAAAAAATTATCTACCTTCAGTCCATATTTATAGCTTTTAAAAGATCCACTTATTTTTTGAAAGAATGAAATGGAGCTAATAAAGAAAAACAAAGTAGTTAAACTCAGAAGAAAGATTTTCTAAACCTGGTGACTATTATCTATATATTTAAAGAAATTTGTGAGTATGGTGAGTTCAGGAAAAACAACAACAATAAACACACAAGGATAATGGTAAGTTTATATAAAATTAAGGCTACATAAAAATAAGGCCATATTTTAAAAGAAGGATGACAAGAAAGAAAAGCTGTGGAAAAATTAACAGAAAACTAAAATTTTAAAAAAGGAAATGGGCAAAAACAATTGGGGTATAATAGCAAACATTAGAAAAAATGTCATGCATTTTTTTTCTAGTTTATAATGATTTTATAATTAGACATTTTACCAAAACTTAGCTATGAATTGAAGTTTTAAATAATCAAATAACTGTATAGTACGAAACCCAGGTTTTGTCATAGCCATGAATTTACAATGGTAAGTACTGAGCAATAATAAAAATCTCTCACACGGATTCAGATAATACCAATTTATAAAAATCACCCTCAGATTAAAATAGTCTCAAAATAAGCTTTGACACAAAACATGGAGATACAGTTGTATGAAATCCAACTTGCAAAGTTGTCTCCAGTTACCTATGGGTTCACACACTGGCCCCTTACACAGAAGGCAGGGAGAGCCCAAAGAAAGAAACAGACCACTCCAGATTGTTAGGTGGCAGGTTTAATAAGCAACGAAACTACATACAAGACTAATCTTAGTCTGCCACCAGGAGATGAGTAGATCCCCCGCACCCACTTGCCGGAGTCTTAAAGGCTCGTAAGCGAGCCCTTAACTGGGTTCAGTAACATGTTGAGTCCAGGGGGTCCAAAACACATTAGTTTCAAGGCTACATCCGTGAAAACAGCTCCAGTGTAGGAATGGTAGGTGGAGCATACATTCCAAGGTCAAGGGGAGAGGGGAAGGAATCTCTAGTTGCCCAGGGTCTACTTCATGGGATGACCAGTGCTCACATCCTCTTAAGGACTTCCTCCAACATTCCACCCCTCCACTGGCTCTTCCTGTCTTCCACGCCTACCTTTCCTCAGCAGGCCCTGTGTGGTCAGCAAGGTGTCTCATTAGTATCGAAGCGGCTCGTTTGGCAGCTGTCTGGCTGAATCATAAGCAGAGGCCTCAGTAACAATTTTGACACATGCAAGTGAAACACAGATTAAGATAATGATTCCCAAAATAAATAACTGTTTTTTCTACCAAGAGCCCCATGGCCGGAACCATTGATTTACTAAATCTCCTAGGATGGAGGTCAGATCATTCACTGCATTTCCTTGTGTCCTTATGTGATTTAATAAAGATAACACATCAGCAGACTCATTATATAAGAACACAAAACATTCTCTTTAGACAATGGCACAGGCGCCTCCTTGTGAGGCAGTAATCAAGCCCAGGGATGTTCTGTTTGGAGGCCCATTTTTTTGTGTGTGTGTTGGCTGTTGTCATTTTTAAATTTGACAGTCAAAGGGAAAGGAGGTCAGTGTCCCTGGCTAAATAGTAAGGTATTGCATGTTGAAGAAAATCTTGCAGCACGTCAGTGTGCCAGTCATGGTGCACTGGTGGAAAAATTACTGCCCTATAGTGTTCTGTGATTTTTCTACTATCTACTGTGGTGTTGTTTTTTTTTTAATTTATTTACTTTTTAAATACATTTGTCTCTGCCTCCCCCCCCACCTCTTTCCCTTGCCCCCTCCCACCTTCCCTCCCTCAGCTCTTCCCCTTTGGTTTTGTCCATGAGTCCTTGCTATATGTTCCTTGACTTTCCCCTTCCCTTCCCTTTCCCTGACCCCCCCACCCTTCCCTCTTGTCTCTGTTGATTTCTTTTCCTTTCAGTGTTGCTGGTCATATTTTCCTTGCATCTTTGCATTGTTGGTTAGGTTCCGCTTATAGGTGAGATCATATGGTATTTGTCTTTTGCCCCCTGGCTTATTTCGCTTAGCATAATTCTCTCCAGTTCCATCCATGCTGTCGCAAAGTTTAGTACTTCTTTTTTTCTTTCTGCTGCGTAGTATTCCATTGTGTATATGTACCATACTTTTTTGATCCAATCATCTACTAATGGGCATTTAGGTTGCTTCCAACACTTGGCTATTGTAAATTGTGCTGCTATGAACATTGGGGTGCATAGGTTCTTTTGTATTGGCGTTTTGGTGTTCTCAGGGTATAGTCCCAGCAGGGGAATCGCTGGATCAAAAGGCAGTTCCATTTTCAGCTTTCTGAGGAAATTCCACACTGCTTTCCACAGTGGCTGCACCAGTCTGCATTCCCACCAACAGTGTACTAGGGTTCCCTTTTCTCCACAGCCTCACCAGCACCTGTTGTTTGTGGATCTGTTTATGATGGCCATTCTGACCGGTGTGAGGTGGTACCTCATGGTGGTTTTGATCTGCATTTCTCTGATGGCTAGTGATGCTGAGCATCCTTTCAAAAAAAATGGGGGGAGGAGATACAGAGGGCCCATTTTTTTTTTATTAGAGGCATTTAAATCAGTGTTTAGTAAAGACAGGCTTTGTCAGTTACCATTCAAGTCTTGTTGGGTGAATTTAGTAAGAGCCTCTGTATGTGCTATAATACCCACAAGGCAGTGGAGGGGACAAAGACGGCAGCCAAATGACTGTATGGGTGGGAAACAGAACATGCCCACCTGGGCTTATGGAGAGGAGCTGGACCTGGTTGTGCACAGCATCCATGTTGGCGGGGGAGGCAGCACTGCCAGAGTGAGGCGATGGACTGGGAGCAGGATGTGCCAGAAGCAGGGCTCCCGGCTTCTCCCCTCTCTCCACAGTGCGTGTTCCATTTGAGACAAAGTGCACTTTAATATGCCCTGTTTGATGCAGAACAATGGGATCCCGGGGGCACTGAGGAGTTCCCTCTGACCCAGGGGTAACTCACTCATCTCTATGGGGTGTCCCATTGAAAACTCCAGTAAATAATGTCTTTCCCAGACCTGATGGCACTTGGTATTCTCAGCAGCACAGCCCGTTGATCCACAAATAAGAGAGGCAGTGGATCTCTACTTTGACTCCATACCTTTCTGGTGCCAGGTGTGCTGGCAGGGTTCCTGGGCTGGCACGTGGGACCGCAGACCCTACTGGCTGATCATTCGAATGTATTAAAGTCTAAAACATTACTTTAATCCAGTTGGCCAAGGTGTTTTCTCTGTTAGTAATTTAATCTGCTTCGTTAATTTTCCATTTTTCCTTTCTATAAAATCTGCTGCTTGCAGGTTACAGCTGAGTTGGGACCTCCATTCAACCTCATGTTTTGTTTTGTTTTTTTGCCCAGTTTGGTACATCATGACCTTTGAAATGTGACCCCCAGCCCATACATGGTCCTCAGCTTCTCTCACTCCCTAATGGTGGCAGCCTGGTTTGCATAAGGATAGGGAATGCTTACATGAGGGTAGACACAGTCTCCTCATACTCCAAGCTATATTCAGAACCCTCACGCAGAGGGAGGGGGCCTATGTCATGATTTGCCAATCTAGCACCTTTGGGAACTTTTGTGGATGGCCCCAGACACCTGTGGCAGTTACCTGGGTTGTTGTCTAGAACACATAA